GCTGCAGTGCCTAGGCTTCAGTGCTTCCTGTTGTCTTTCAAAGACCTCCGTCTGCAGGGGCCCCTTGGCGGCCCCTTGAGCTCAAAGCTACCGTGCACAGCAGAGAAAAGAGTAGAGTTCCAGCCATATCACTGCGTGTCTCCGCTTCGTTTTGTCAGTTGGCACCGGAGCGTGGTTTCGATCAGGGCCTGGGAAAACCCGTGGTGAGCGCTGTGGAGAGTCACAAGCTGGTGCAAGCTTGCAGCCGTGCGTGTGTGTGAGACGAACCTTTGCCTGGAGACCTTGAGGGCAGAGAGAGCAGATGGAGACGGGACAGCCCCCGACAGACTCTGGAGGCTTGTCTATCGAGATAGAGACCCGCCTCCAGGATGGAACGGAGAGAAACCAGAAGCCACCTTGAAGCCCTACCTCAAGGACCTTCAGCTTTGGGAGGCCGTGACAGATCTCCCTCCGGCCAAGCGCGGCCCGAAACTTGTGTAGGCCCTCACAGGACCGGCGCGAGAGGCGGTTCGCTTCCTTGAGGTTCCCGAGCTGATCAAGGAAGATGGCGTGAAGACCGTGATCAAGGCGCTCACCTCTGCCTTCGAGCCCTACCAGGAGACAGCCTTGCCAAGGGCCATGGAGACGGCTCTGTACGGGCATGCCCGGGCACACAAGGAGCGATCCCGCAGTACCTGCTTCGCTTCAGCGCGGCGCAGAGAGCTCTACGAGATGAAGGCGTGGATCTTCCTTCGAAGGCCAAGGGCTACCTACTTTACCGGCAGTCCAATCTGGACAAGGAGCTGGACGCACGGCTCCTGACCTGGCTGGCTGGCGACTACTCCGAGGACGTGGTCGTGGCCAACCTCCGAAGACTGGACCGAGCGATACAGGAAGGAAGCCGAAAGAACAATGCCTACTACGAGGGCCTGGAGGAAGACGATGCCGGCGATGCAGAGGGCGAATGGCAGGAGCACGAGGCATACTACGAGGACTATGGCAACGCGATTGACGACGACGAGGCCCTGGAAGAGACCTACTACCAGGACCCGGCACCAGACGAGGCGTTCCAGGATGTGGTCGAAGAGGACGAGCTCCTGGAAGTTCTGGCCTCCTACCAGGACGTGCGCGACTCACTGCGCATGGCCCGGAACGGTCGGGGCTACTACCCGAAAGGATCCAAGGGCTCTTTCGGCCCACTCCCAAGCGGCAAGGGGAAGCAGAAAGGAACGACCAGGCCCGACCGAGCTCTTACTCTCCAAGAGATAAAGCTGAGGACAAGGTGCCGGACATGCGGACAGGCCGGCCACTGGTCTCGTGAGTGCCGGGCTTCTGCTGCACAGCCGTCTTCGTCGTCAGGTGCGTCGCGCGCAAGCTTCTTTTGGTCCTCGGGGCAAAGCTCCTCAGCAGCCACGTTCTTTGCAGCAGGCACAGCCGAGCCCCAGGGCACAGGACAGCACGACAAGGAGCCCGAAGACGCAGCCAGTGCAAAAGACAGCTCGTTGCCGTTTATAGGTGTCGCGACCCAAAGCTTCCAGGGGATAGTCGACACCGCAGCACAGGAAGGGCTTGTTGGCAAACCAGCTCTTTTGCGCCTTCTTGAAGAACTCCGAAAGCAAGGACTCCGGGGGTACTGGAATGGGAAAACTTCCGAAGCCCGCGGCATAGGCGGCCGCGCCACCTCCCTAGGAACAGTTGAGGTACCTGTCGGTTTCGGCGGGATTGCGGGCATACTCGAGCTCACCGTAGTTGCTGAAGATGTTCCCCTGTTGGTCCCGGTCAATCTCCTGAAGGCCCTCGGTGCTGTTATCGACTTAGACGAGGGATTGCTTCACCTACGTAAGGTCAACACGGTTTGCGACATGAGCTTCCTGTCGTCGGGTCACCCGGTCATTAGCATCATTGACTTCGGCAAGGGATGGCATCTTCCAGAAGTTTGTCGTGAGTTTAGGTCAGAGCAGCTGTTTCGCACCGAGCCGCAGAAGCAAGTGAAGTTCACCGATCGCAGCTTTGGCTCTTCAGCTCTTTGGGCAGCAGCTTCTGGAGGAGGCAGCAACGCTCATGCTAACCAACCGCGCCCTCGGAGTGCAGCGTTCCCCTGCTCGACAAGGACAATGGCAGCTCGTCGGCCCGGCCCCGGGCGCAAGGGCCCGACGAAATTGGCGCGTCGTTTTGGACAAGCTCTCCTGTGTGCTGCAATGGGCACGGTGGCAGGAGCTTGTGTCAACGTGGCTGCCGCTTCCAGAGCTCGGACAACGGCAGTCGCAGCCGCTTCCCTCGGGACCAACCTCAAGTACGACGACGAGCTCTACGAGACTTGCGCCCACGGACAAAGGAGCGGCGTACAAGCGCTACTTGCAGGAGCGCAAGCCGGAGCAGCTCTCGGCAGTCAAGGGTGCCGACGGTTTCCGTGGAGAAGTGCCAGCACCCAGCGCAGTGCCTGAAAGGCGGCGGCAATGGACACATGAACTGGGTGCACTGTGCCCAGTGCAGGTGCCGCTGGAAGTTGTCGCCGAGGACCGCGGCAGTGTTCACCGGGCGGCCGTTGGAGCCGGCCGAGGAGATTGCCGAGAACCCCAACCTGGCCGCTCGCGTTCAGGAGATGGCGCGGGATGCCCTCGAGAAGGAGCACCTGGACCAGCAAGACCAGCTGCTGCAGATCATCGCGGACCAGCGGGAGAAGATCGAGGAGACCCAGGCACAGCTGGACATGCAGAACGGCCACTTCCTGGAGTACGAC